GCTCTGGCCAATTGATTGGTCTCGTTTTCATTGTTGTCCAAGCGGACTTTCTGGCCTGCAACTCGGCGGACTGCAAGTTGCAACACGCTTTCGGCCTGTTGATTGTCGTGTGATTGGCAGTTGGCACCGTAATAACACAAATCCATTGGCAAGCAGGCAAATGGCTAATTGTCGAGGCACGCGTCTGGCTGAAAGGAACCGCCTCCTTGGTCGGTCGGCCCATTAAGGTGAGACCAGGAAATTGGGTAACGCGGCTGACAGCTAAATTTGTTGACGGGAAAAAGTGGGTCAAAAGGGCAACGATTTGTGTTTTGAGTTTTTGGGAAAAGCCAAAGAGACGCAGGAACTAAATATTGTGAACTTAGAATTTTGTATTAATTCAGTTCTATGAGCTTTATTTTATAATTTAAATTTTTTTAATTTATATTAGATGTCTATTTATAATAATCAATCATTGATTTTAAGAAAACAATTATACCTACATTATTTGTTATTCTTCCTACTTTATTAATTAGTAATAAATATAATAAATCCATCAAATAACATATTATATTTTTTACGAGGAGCTAGATTTATCTATGAAATCTACGTCATATTTTTAATTTCAATTGGCACTCCTGGAAAATTAATTTTAAAGGCATTGTCCCTGGAAGTTCTTGCCTATTGAGCATGAAACCGAGGCTTCAACTTCAACATCCTGCCAACTGACTTGTGCAGAGCCACAAAGCCCCGCCCCCTTGAACCTCCACGCCCACATGGGTCCGTCTGCCATGGGATGTCAAGTTGCCAGGGCTGCCACTTCCCCCTCACTCCAATCCTCCACCACCCAGTTCCACCCACTGCCACTCTGGCATTGCCAACATGTGGTGACAACGCCGAATTAAGTTATTTGTCAAATGTCGAAACGCTGGCCGGCGCACACAACTCAAATCGGGCCTATCCCGTCATCGGCGAGAAATCCGGGGGTCCTCGGATCCGCATCCGAATCCGAATCGAAAATCCGGACACGGACTCCCGGACCTCGAAAGGATTCGGATCCCGGTCCGTCCGCGCCGCTTTGTCGGCCTGTCAGTCGTCGCCGTGACAGCAGTGGCTGCAAATAAAGGAGCTGCCAATACTTTATGCACAAGCCGAAATCAATTTTTGCCAATCAATTGCAGAAAAAAGAAAGCGATGACGTAGGCAATGAAAGGGACGATTCAAATGTTTGGCAAGTGGACACGGTCCACTCCACAACTGAATTAAAAATTAAATTTTCCAATTAAGCCGGCAAACATTTCTAGGATCGCACTCGTTTCAAAGTGGCGGGGCAAATCTGATTACACGAAGAGCGCTTTGATTTGGTCAATGGTGTTTCATGAATACAAAAGGATCAAGTGCCTTGAAAATAGAAGAAAAAGTAATAGGTTGATATTACTAGATTGTTCCTAATGAATTTAAGATTTAATTTACTTTTTTAAAATATAAATTATATTGTAGCTTGTGACTGAGAAAAATGTTTGGTGTTCCGGGCTAAATACTGTCGAAACAAAAGTTTAGTCATGCCAATAAAAAAAAAAAAAAAAAAAAAATAATAAAAAAAAAAAATAATCTTTTTTTTACATTTCAAGAGATAACTGAATAGCCCCGAAATAATTGTATTTAAAAACCAATAAATACGAATATTTGGTTTTTTAATCATTTTGTCTAGTCGTTACACATGATTTATTTTTAACAAAAGTACCCTAGTTTACTGATTAAATGATCGCAAATCGCGGCAATTAACGCCACTTTCCACACTGAACTTTGACCATATTGTGCAAAAGCATTTTTATTTGCCTGAATTCGAGGGAGTTATTGAAAATGTTTTCTGTCACGTTCAACCGAAAATGAGCTGGCCACGACTCGATTATACGATAAGCCGAGAAAAATGCCACAAACAATTATCCGTACTAATTACAGCGCTTTAGTGGGCAGTGAGTATAAACCCCGATTTCGATTTAGTCACGGATCGAACGCCATGCGACACGCGATCTGGTTTCTCGCAGTGTTCGGCGCTTTTCCGCTCGACGGCTCCTGGGTTTCGGCTGGATTTCTGGAGGACACTTATCCTGCGAGTGTTGTTGAAGATGCCCATCTGAATACTGTGAGTCTTAAAAGTAAATTATACTAATTCTTATACCAAACATAACCTGGTTACTTAGATACAACTCCTGGAGAAGTACAAGTACCCAGCGGAAACCCACAAGTTTGTAACTGAGGATAATTATGTCCTTAGTCTCCATAGAATACCGCGTCCTGGTGGAAAACCAGTTCTGTTGGTGCATGGCCTGCAGGACTCCTCTTCCACCTGGATTGCGATGGGTCCACACAGTGGATTGGCTTACTTTCTGTACGACAATGGATACGATGTGTGGATGGGCAATTGCAGGGGGAATCGCTACTCCAGAGAGCACTTGAAACTCAATCCGAATACGGACAGGGCCTACTGGAGTTTCTCCTGGCACGAAATCGGCATGTACGATCTGCCAGCCATGATAGATGGAGTTCTACAGAAAACTGGTTACCAAAAGCTGAGTTACATCGGTCACTCCCAAGGAACCACTTCGTTTTTCGTGATGGCTTCGAGTAGACCCGAGTATAATTCCAAAATCCATGTGATGAGCGCCTTGGCTCCTGTGGCTTTCATGAAACACATGGGAACTCCCCTCGTGTCCTTCGCCCGATTGACATTCACTATGTTTGGGGAAAACTACGAGCTGTTTCCACACTCGTTCTTGTTTTTGAACCAGTGCTTTTCCTCCGCTCACCTGGTAAAGACCTGCATGCATTTCTACTGGAACCTGGCGGGAAAGAATCGAGAGGAACAGAATGTGGTAAGATGAGTTTTGATTTCTCATTTGAGTTATTTATAATTTTATAATAATTTCATTATAAATAGTATATTTTTCTTTTTTCGTAGACCATGTTCCCTGTGACATTGGGCCACATACCCGCTGGCTGCAATGCAAAACAACCGATGCATTATCTCCAACTTCAAACTTCCGATCGATTTTGCATGTATGACTACGGTGACGAGAAAAACCAGCGGCTGTATGGAAAAGCGCATCCTCCGGATTATCGCCTGGAAAGGATTACCGCTCCGGTGGCCTTGTACTATGGCACCGCGGACTTTCTTTCGGCGGTGGAAGATGTCCAGCGATTGGCGAAACTACTGCCCAATGTGGTGGAGAATCATTTGTACCGCAAGTGGAATCACATGGACATGATATGGGGCATAAGTGCCAGGCACTCGATTCAACCAAGGATTTTAGAGATAATGCAGCACTGGGAATCTGGCGGAATAGGGGCCAATAACATGGGATCACCACTTGAAGAGGAGGTGGAACTTAATCCTAAGGAAACCATTGTTTTCGAAAATCCTGTAGAAATACAGGACGAGGCTGGAAGTTTCGCAGGAAACGAGGAGGAACGCAAAAGCGATCAGGAAGACTTAGAAAAATATCTGATCAATGCAATCAACAATCCTACATCGGAGCTGTAGGTAAAATCCACAACTTTGTTTGAAAAATGACAAGTGTTTAAAACAATTTAATTGTTTTTACGGTTCATTACGTACAACATATTTATATGAAAGCAGATTATGACGGTGTTTGGTTGATTTCAACATTAGGTTGGAAATAAATGAATTTTAGCTAAAAACAAAAGATGGTTTTTTGTGGCTAATATGATGGGATAAGCAATATACCAAGCTTGTTGTTGATTAATTGAATTGAATTGAATAAATTCAATTTAAATTTGTAGTTTATGGTTTTTGATTTGATGATTTTTTGGCTATGTGTAATATTTACCCAACCAAACTTTGTGTCAATTACAAAATGTTTACGCTTTTATGAACTTTATATACTTCAATGACTTCGCTGAAAAAGATAAATACAGATCACAAATGTTTTTGACTGCACAGAAAGGAAACTAATAAGTGATTTTAATTTAATGATATGATTTGATGATTTTTATATGGCACAAGTATAGAAACCTTAAAAATAATTTTCTTAAATTGAAGTGTACTCCTCCTTAGCTTTCATAAAAATACATACCAGAACAAATTGTATTTGTTTAATAAATACAAATACTTGCAGGATGCTTACCGATATCGTCTGAAAACTTAAGCGCTCGGCATCCGAGCATTTTTCCGAATTTATGAGTTCCTGCGGCTTTCGGAGCGGGAAAAGTGCAGCAATCACGTGCCACATCCGCCGTACAGCCGCACTAACACTAATACCAACAACTGGAAACGTTTTGGGAATTTGAGAGCGCAACGAGGCGCGAAAACATTTACTCAACACTTAGCAGCTGTTGGTTAGTTTGCGGGGTGAAGTTTTCCCAGGGGGAAAGCGGGGGAAAGTGGTGGAAAGCGGGGGAAAGCGGTGGAAAGCGGGGGAAAGCGTCGGTTTGTCGGGAGTTGTTCTTGTTGTTGGACGACGTGCGGCGAAAGTTTTTTATGATTTATGAAGCAGGCGACGATGGAGCAGCTGCTGCAAGTCCTGTCGCCCATGTCCTCTGTCCTTTATCCTCTGTCCCCATGTCCTGTGTCTTCCATCTCTTGTCTCCGTCGACGGATGCGGATGCGGATGCGAGTGCGGATGCGGATGTAGAGGGGGCTGCTAAGCGCTTTCCCTTGTCAGTTGCCCAACTGCAACCCGGATATAAAAATTGCACTTTGATGCGTTTTCCTTGCACAGAACTAAATTTATATGGCATATATATAGTACAAACATATATGTGTTGTGCAAACAATGTGGGGCCGAAATAACAAAAGTTTCTTTGGCGGTTTTTTCTGCGCTGTGCTCATTAAAATTTCTGCTTTTGTTCAACACCGAAACAATGGAGGAGGACCCCCCAGCAAACATTGTGGAAAACGCCGACTCTGGCAGTTGACACATGCTGCTTTCTAAGCAAAACGCGGCGCTAAAGTTAAGTGTGTAATTTGTGAAAGTGTGTGGTGTTCGGGTGTTTGGGTGTTCGGGTGGTGGAATGCCAAAACAACACAGCAGAATTCATATTGTTGGCGACACATTTCCCCGGCCAAACAACAGAACAACAAGCAAACAGCTAAACTGCAGAACAAACACGGGAATTCGCTCAGAAATTGGCACAATGAACTCCGGCATTCGTGAGGCTTTTCCACTAATGCATCGCCGAGTGAAACGCGATAAAGTGAAGTCGCCGAGCGAAAAGAAGCACTATGCAAAACACTAATTAAAAAGCGAAAAATTGCCTAGTTTCTGGGATAAACCACCTCCATTTACGAGAGTGATTCGCATCAATTCATGAAAATATTCCACCGATAGTGAACCCAATTAAGTTTAGAACAGGTATTCGCTTTAATTTTATTATGCCGTTTTTTCATATTTATTTTGTTTCCGCTTTTGTTAAATAAACTCATTTATGTGTGTGCTTGTAGTTGCCCATGCAATTACATTTTTTGCTCTTCGGTTTGTTTGGATTTTAATATTATTACTATTATAAATATTTAAACATGCATAGTACTGGTAATTAACTTTAATTGTTTTTTTCGCTGTAGATAGGCTTAAGTTGAAAAGTATAAATAGTCGTACATACATTGGAATTTAATTTTATGTATTACACCTTAAATAGAAAAAAACTAGAATAGCCGAATGTTTATTAAAAAATACATTAATATTTACAGGGAACTTAGATGTACATGTAATATTAATATTCCGATGCATACTAGATTTTATAAGCGAAACTCTGGCTTTAAATTGGTTTTTGTGTTCGGGGACATACATTTAATCAGCTTTAGCAGTGCTCTTAAATATTGTAGGGAAATTTGGTAATAATTTTGTTGAGTTTTCGGCGATTAATTTTGCACATTTTAACGAGGCCTCTGCTTCCCATCGTACTTGTAAAAAAACATGTCCATTCAGTCTTTAAAATAAAAACTCCCCAACACGCTGATTTTGATTACGTTTTAGCCTCAAACAAATCCGTTTTTGTTTTAGCCATAAACATTAACCTTAACACACGTACGTGTGACGACATACAGATGCAGATTTCAGCTACACTAATTGCTAATTGGATTTTACCTTAGTTTTTCATTCGCTTGCGTTTAAATTAGATTTGTTTTTTTGGTGTTCTCGATTTTATTTCCTCTTTTTTGTTGCACGGTGCTTGATTTTTGGCTTTTATTTTGTGTTGAAAAACATTCAGAGTTTTATTATCATATTTTACATGGTTACCAGTTACCGTTAAATGCTTTCAATTATTTTTAATAATTTCTCTCCGATTTGGCGCAGCGTTTTACAAACAGTGCCTAGAACTACGAATAGAGATACGATTAAATGGAGATATGTCGCTGAACAATGCCCGAAACTACACGTACACATATAGATGTAAGCTGTCTGAGTAAACTGTTCGAATTAAGGTAATGCTATATAGACACCGATAACTTCCAAATGCCAAGCTCTATGTACACAATTTGCTACTCTTAACCGATCGGATCAGCCTTCCCTAGAAGTAATCCATTTTGGGGGCGTCCATCGAAGTGTGCATGGTGAGGGTGACTCCCCTGTTGATGCTCACTGCCGGGTAGAAAACCCCGTAGAGATCCCTGAAGGCCACCGATCCCTGCGGCATCTCGTTGACCAGGAAGCTCAAGGTGTGCCTCTCCAGATCCAGGAGCACTCCGATCGTGCTTCCCGTGGTGATTCCCCCTTCAACTCGCCTCTCGTGAATGGAGTTGTGCTGGAACCAGGACCTCTGTCGGTCGATGTACATGGCGAATGACTTCTCGTCCTTGCCTGGAGAAAATCAAAGCAAAAAATTCAATTATTATTTAGGCAAACTAATCTTTTCGGGTAGGAAAAATACCATTATTGGTACCAAAATGCTATTTGCTGAACCATGAAATAAACATCAAATAAAGTCTTCAACGGTTTTTATTTATAGTATACTTTTATACTATAAATTCCCATTTATTTATCATGGTTCAAATGTGATACTATTTTTTTTATTTAAGCTAATTTTTTATCGTGTGTAGCTCATCTTTTATTTAAATGGTGTTTGTTTATTTTGTTTATGTTAAAAACGGCTATGAGGATGGAAACCAATTTCTAAACTTAAATGCTCAAATTTATGATTGGCAAACTAAGAAAACGCTTGTAAATCTTACTAATCTTAAGAAAGTCTTCAGATCTTGTTAGAAAGTTAAAATAAAGATAATAAATCCCTTCTGTTATAAACTTTGATGCTTACACCTTTAATCAGCAAGCAAAATCAACTAACAAAATTGATTGCAAATTTGAATACCCCTATTAATCTTTGCTCTCCGTTTCGCTGACTTTCCGAACTCAGCTTCAACCCGAAGTTGGGAACTTTAAACTCCTGGATCCTGGCTGGCAGGATAACTCCCCCGACGTGCTCCACTCCTGGCTTGTCAGTTTCCTGTCTGTCGTTTCGGTCCTGCGGAATTATAACTGACAAACGCAGGAGAATCGAGCGGAGGATGGTAAGGCGGAGAGGGATATATATATCTATCTATATCTATATATAGAACGCATGAGAGTCGTAAAACAACTTGGCAAACTGCAACTGTTAGTGTCAATGTCAGTCGCTAGGGGGCGCCACCTGCACCGGAGTTACACGAATACTTTGCATATGAAAATTTAATTCGAAAACTTGAGTTTTGCCAGCGGGCACGTGTTTAATGGCGCGTGAGCAGCTTGGGGAATAAATCGTGTAAGTGAAAAGGATACACTGTAAAGTCTTACAAAAAATAAAAGGCGGAAAAAAAATACTTAGATGCGATGCCGCAAATAAACTTTTGCATTTGACAAAAGTTTAAGTGCCGCACTTTTAATTACTTTTGTCTGCATTGCCGATGGAAACTCAACCTCCCACGCAACCACGCACATTTTCAATCAATTTGCCGGGGCATTCTTCAAGGCGCCTCTGTTCCGTCCTTTGTTTGTATTTGTCTTAGTTTGGCAAAGAAAGGCCCCTCATCCTTGGAACTCCAGGCTCCAGGATCCAGGATACCGGAGGTTCCGCTTCGCGCACATGCAACAAGAAATGGCAAAAGTTTTCGATACGCCCCTCCCCCGCTCACTTGCCACTCGATTTTATTGGCTTCGCATTGCGAGGCGGCAAAATGGCAAAGTTTTAAGTTCCACTGAGCACTCTCCCTCCGGAATCCCTGTCTATTAGCTGCGAACTGCGAACTTTCCGCATACGAATTCGATCTTTTGTCAACGCCAGAATCTATTTGTTGTGCAGATTTTCCACTTCTCCCTGTTCCCACTTTAATTTTTTTCGCTCAAAGTTTCTATCTGTGCGGCGCCTGCTCTGAATGTTTAATTGAATTTCAAATGCAACCAGTAACCCACTGAAAGGTGCAGAACTGGGGTTCAAAGCACTCACCCAGCATTTTGTTGCGGGCCACGTCGATGCGGGCCACTCCAAAGGCGGGATCCGTGTCCGCCGTGTAGTTGTCGATGGTGAACTCCCAGTAGTGGACGCCCCGGGAGAATCCCACCGAGCCGAGGGCCACGCGGTGCTCCCAGCCCTCGACGCTCACGGTCGCGTTGTTTTTGCTGAAGATTAGGCCAGAGCCGGCGCCGCCGCTCAGAACCGGATCAAACGTGAACCAGGCCACTGCAAAGGATAAGGGTTAACACACTTGATGAGTTCACTTGGAAAAAATATTCTACAAATAAATGGGTAAAATTCTAGTACTTTGTACAATGTAATATCTAAATTAGTTGGCACTGGGAAACCAGTTTCATAATCCTTCGAAATCATCAATCAAAACTTCATAAACAAATAAGAAGACATACGTAATAGAAAATGGTAAATTATAAAACATAAATTATTCACTATTTTTCTACATTATAAAAAATTTACATTCTGTTACTCCACCCGGGAGCTTAGAGCCTCTACAATTTCTTGTAGAAGATTCGTTATCATTGATTTTCGATCGTACCGGTGATAAGCCAGTAGCGACTTATCCTAGCGGTGGGGTTGCCACCTGGCGCCATCTAGGAGTGACGAAAATTCTATTGATGGGTCCATAGTAACGTGGACGAGGGGTGTGCGGGTCCGGGGAGCCGAAATTTGTTACTAATGTTAAGTGAGCGATAGAGCATAGAAGTGGTGGAGATTTGGAAAAAGAGACCGTTTCTTTTTCTCGGGGAGCCTGGGGCGCGACTTGAACCCGGGCCTTCCGGACCGGAGGCCAGCGCTCTACCTGCTGGGCCACCGTCCCCCCCTATTTTTCTACATTAAAGCTTTACTTATTTTAATTTTAATAGAAGGAAAGATTGAAATGGATAAATTAAACTAGAAATACCTCCTGTTAAAAATGCTTGATGTTTTGTTAGTACATTATATTCAATAATTTCTTTTTATTTTAGGAGAAATATTTTAGTAAAATTTGACGAACGTTAACCTTCTTTTGGTAGGAAAAAACTTTATTGATTTGAAAGTACTTAATCTTTTTATTATTAAAAAACCTAAACCAATTGATTACGCCAAAGTATGAATGCATTTTCATCTAGCTCCCTTAATTTTATTTTAAACTCCAAAAAACTAGTTTCTTTCAGTGCGCTTTGCAGTGCAAAGTGGAAAGAAAAACAAAGTCAGACTGGTTGCAATTTTCCCCATTGTCAAAGCTCAAGTGGCCAGTGCAATTCGGAGCCGGAGTTGGAGTCGAAGTCCGAGAAGTAGACCATTCCCCATAGTTTATGCTGTTATGCGCCGCAAAGTAGGCAACGAGTGGCGTCGAGTCGAGTGCTTTATTAAATTTCCTTTTTTATTGTTGTGGCCGCATTAAGTGGCCAAGGCTAGTCTGCAATCAGCTGGGACCTGATGTATATATAAAGCGAGCTATAGCCATAGCTCCACTTCTCGGTCTGCTGGCGATGATGACGCCGCCTGTTTTATTGGCCACCAAAGGCAATTGTGTGGCCATCCAAGCCACAAAGCAAGCATCTGGGCCAGGAGAACTCGGTGGCTCAATGGCCGAGCCATTGTTTTGTTTACGTCGGGATATGACTTTGCGATTAAAACTATGAGGAATTTGAGCCAGGCACTATAAACCGAGAGCCCTGGATGCCGGCATTTAATTAGTTACTATAAACTGTTCCCAGATTCTTAATTGGATAACGAAGTGGACGACGGAGCTGGCTTGTTTGCCAAATGATTGCGTCTGAGACTGGAATTAGGAGTCTATTAAAAAGGATTAGGGATGGTCTGTAATACTTTTTAATTTTCGGTTCATTGCTTTGAAATAAATGAATAAAGGAGTATATGCATCTGAAGCGAAAAACTGAACGACCAACAATTTTTAAAAAAAATGAAAAATACTTCAGGGTTGGAAATATTTAATATGAACATAACTTTAGAAATCTGAGGTATGACAAAAAATTTAAAGATACTCAAGGTAATTGTCTTAACTAAAAACTCTTAAAAAAGGGAACCTCTCGGAATACTCTATTTGCACTAAAAACTGGTTAAACTGTATAAACTGGTATAAACTATAATATAATTTACTTTAATTAAATTATTTGTACAAATTAATATATTACTAGACGGTTCCTTGCCAGAATTGATTTTTCCTAAACTTAAGTAATTGGAGCCACTTCAACCCCCAATTTTTCCCAAGACCATTGTCTTATAAACTGTTTTTCTTATGTCGTTAAGGTGTCGGAGTTAACCCATTAGCGCAGACCGCCCGCAAACGTCACGAGCCATAAACTGCTAACTGGTTTTCGCGTTAATTACTTAGGGACACGCTCTCGGTGTAAACACTTTATGAAATGGCAATTCTGGGGTCGAACAGCCCGATTAAATCGCCTGCGAACCGCGAAGACAACTCGCAGGCGCCGCGAAATAATCAATTAAAAGTTGCAAATTAATGGCGACCAACTAATGCCGGGAAATGCTTCCCAGAGCGTTCTGGCAATTTTATAAATTAAATAACTTTACGCGGCGTGCCATTTGAGGTGGGTCCTTGGGGGGGTTGGAAAACAGAATCTGCTGTCAGGTGGCGCAGGCATCAATCAAGTGCGAATTGGATTGCAGAAGACATCCTCCCCCCGCGTTTCAGATCCTGGAGTTGAGCTTCTAGAACCGCTGCCGATCCCAGTACCAATACTAGCACCAATCCCAATCCATTTCCATTCAGGTCTTCCTGCCCGGCAGGCGTAAAAGGGGTCAATGGCTGTTTGACATGCAAAGCACGAACGAACGAGCAGGAAAACCAGGAAAAGCGGGAAAGGCGGGAGTGCGGCCGTGGAAAATGGGGTGGCGCATGACCGAAAAGGATTAAATTATAAAACAGTTGGAAAAGTAGCTCACAGGCGAGCTCAGCTCAGCTCGGCACGATGCACCCAACTGGAGGAGCTTAATTGAAAAAGCTAGTAGTGGCGGCAGAGGTGAAAATGTGAAAATGTGAAATGTGAAAAGCGGGACTCACCTTCGGCAGTCTGCAGTCCAATCAGCTCCGAGTATTCGCCCTCTCCGGCGGAATTGAAGGCCTTCACCCGGGCATTGTACATCGAGTTGAAGTGCAGCCCGTCCACGGTGCAAATTGTTTCCTTGCCGCAGTAGACTTCCTGTTTCGGCGACCAAATCGAGAGGGGGGGCAATCAAATTAAAGTTCTTGGTTAATAAATTGAAAGGTGACAGCTATTCAGTCAGCCAATCAGCAGTTGGGCCACGAAGGCACCCAGTTATTAACTGCTTTGGCATCCAATTTGCATTATTCGCTGGCAAATTGTATTATTGGCTCTTAAAAACTAGATAAATTCATTAAATATTCTTAGAGCTTAGAAAGGCAAAGGGATTAATTTTCTAAAACCAATTTAGAATTTTATTTTAAATGTAATAAAATATTTTTTATAAATTGATGGAATTTATGTTTATTTTTACAAAACATTATCGAATTTAAATATTTTAATATTCATGACGGATTTTACATACCCTAAATTCTCCACCGCTGCCATCATCCAATTCCAAAACATAACCCTCGACGAATGAGTGATTTGGTGGCTGCCACGCCACGGTAACAGAATTATTTTCTGCTGAACAATCCGATGGCAGTATAGTTGGTGTCATGGGTGCTGTTGGAAAAATAAAAAATGTTATAAACTTTTGCTATAATAAAATAAAGGAATTAAAGAGTGTGCATAATAAACAAAATACCCGAAATATGTGTTAATTTAAGGGGACAAAAGAGGTCGAAAAGTGGTGGTTAAATAAAAGTAAGACAAATTATCAGTACAACTAAGATAAACTAAGACAAACACCACAACCAATAAACATGATTCGTAAGATGAAAACCCAAGGACAACCCATCCTTTGATCCTTTGAGAAGCCAAACCGAAAACAGTCAGGGATTCTTATTCGTAAGTTTCATTTTTTATTAATTGCCCGGAGGGGAGCCACGCCTACGTGTCGTAAAATCGAGGCATAAAACCAACGCCTGGTAATAAAAATTCATGACACAACACAAATGGCAAGGGCAAAGTGAAGCGCCTAAAATTATGCCACAAAATAAACATAAAAATGACGACACTTCTGCCTCGGTTTTACTTTTGGCATTTCCGCTCCCCCGGGCAGGCATCGAATTAAAAAGGCGCCAAAAGCTGTCAAATGCCACCGAAACAAAAGCCCAGGTACAAAGTAAAAAGTTAAAATCAAGATGCCCCGGCAATCAGGCTAAAAGTGTATAGGGATAAGCCTAAGCAGGCGACTTGAAGAGGGTCAATTGCGAGAGAAAATACCAGAAAAAGGCTGAGGTACATAAAAATAATAACCATATAAAACGAAAAATGCGAAATAAAAGCTTAAGCATGAAATAATGAAGATGGGGAATGAGTTTTTCGCAGGGGAAGAGTCAAATGAAAAGCGACAGGCGAAAAGAAGGGAAAAAATGGCGTAAATAATTATGTCACTTCAAATGACATCGCTGACCACGCCCCCTTTTGGAAACCACCGCCCCCCGGAGGGTTGACAGGATGTGGTAAGGAATCATTGTTTTTTTTTGTTGACATTCGCCAGGAAACGGAAGTGAGTCCGAAAATATTTGGACGCATTTTCGGGGCAAATTTGGTTTATTTTTTATTCGCTGCTAGTGGCTTAAATGAAAATGAAAAAATTATTATGCGTAGGCGTGTGTGGCAGTCAAATGGAAAAGAACGGAAAACAATGGCCAAAATCCATGAAAACAAAATGGCCGACGAACCAAGTTGATGTGTGGGTGAACAAGCATGGATGTATTTGTATGGTATGTGTGTGGGAGAGTGATTGAGTGAGTGTGTGTGTGTGAAAGTCCGAAAGCACCAAAAAATCAGTTTTTACCAGAAACAGAACAAAAATTACGGAAATCAACTTTATGAGTTTCTGTCTTGTGTGCGAAAACTTAATTTGTGTATTGATTTTTATTTATTTTTTTTTATGTTTTTGCATTCAAGAGGTTGTGATTTTTGCTCACCTGCCGGACATCTTTCGTCTCCATCTTTGACGGCTTTAGATGGTTTGTATTTTGATTTATGGGGGTTTTCATTTAAATGAGAGCGAGCGGCACATTCAAAATGATGGGAAAATGCAAGAGAAGCACAAAAATGTTAGACATATCATACAATTTAAATTCTATTTTAATGGGTAACTCGGTGTGTGTGTGTGTGTGTGTGTGTGTAAGTGCACTATCCGATTTCAACACTTTCACTTTAATTGCAGGGGATCTATTTTCGGTAACTCCTTCGCTCGAAATTTGTCAACTCCACACACGATTTTCCGCCACCTATTTCGATTTTCCCAAACACTTGGCTAGTTCTAAATTTCAGTACCCGTCTCCTGGGAGTTCTCCAAACTATTTTTGAAGTCCCAACTCTTCAACGGCCCTCGATTGAAGGCCTCTTTTCGCTTTTGTTTCGAGGGCAAATCGAGTGTGGGTTCTGTTTGTGTTTATGTTTGTATTAATGCTTATGTTTATGCTAGCAGGGTGGCCCAAAGTCACACCTTTTGGGGTGTGTAGGTGTGTGGGTGGGTGTGTGTTTGTGCGCAATTAGTGACAATATTTATGAGGCGGGTTTGCTTAGCACATACAGTTGGGCTCAATAATTCACCGCTGGTTAGGACACAATAATACTGAACAAGGAGCTCATAAATAACTTTTAAATATTTTAAGAGTTCTAAACTATGTAATCTAAACTCCATACAAGTACTTCTTATATACGTTGCTTTAGCTAAACTTTACTAAATCGAAATACTTAGATATTGTACAATCATTGCTATTAGTGTAGTTTGCTGAAAATATTTCATAGAATTTAAAGTTTAAAGTGCCACCTACCTCTCATCTGGATAAAGTTCAAGTTATCAATGGCACGTGCCAAAGCTGCATCATCGAGGGTCAAATCCACGATGGGGGAAACCCGAGGAGCGGCATTGGTGACCTCCTGGTGCCAGGTCATGTCCGTGTTGGTCACTCGGTTAATAAGCATGGAACCCACCTGGATTGCAGAATTATATATTTTTATATACGTTTTAAATGAACTAAATAGTTGGTTAACCCACCTGAAGAAAGGCGGCGCTGTCAGTCTCCTTAAGAGCTTCAATGCAAAACTGAATTAGTCCAGTGGTCTGTTGTAATTTGCCAGTGCAGTTTGATTGTTGATCCTGCGAATAAACATATAAAATTATTAAATAATTATTTTTAAATATTAAAATAGGAAGATATAGTAAATATGATAGGTAAATTATACTAGATTTAATTTGATTTTTTTTATATACTAATATTGATTAATTTTATATACTAAAATAGGAAGATATAGTAAAGATGATAGGTAAATCAAGTATAATTGATACTGAAGTATTTTTAGTTTTATAAGATTGATTTCTTATTATTGCTTAAACGCTTAAACAGTCAAATGATTTTTTTATTAAATCTAGTTAACTAACATTATTTCTTAAATTTATTTTATAATTAAAACTTCAGAAGAACTCACCTTTAGTATCCTGATCTTGGTGTCCTTGTCCATGCGAATCGCCTCGAGGAGATACTCCCGCCTGTCGTGGATTGCCTGAATGAGAGCCTCGCATTGTGCGTGGACGAGTCGCTCGAACTCCATGCAGGATTCCTGTTTTTCGGATGAGTCGGATTTTAGCCGGATTGAGGGGATTCTTTATTTTTTTTGTGTCGGCCAGACGCTCACTTACCGTAACTTTGTCGCTCATGCCCTTAAGGCGCTGGATGAACTCGGTCGTGGAACGTGCCTTCTCCGACAATTGTTGCAGATTCTGCGAGAGCTCCGTCTGCGAAATAAAATAAGGGAAAACACAAAAAATGAATACCGAGGACAATGACATCAGCGCGAAAATTAAAATGAAAAACAGCGCAGGAATACAGTGTTCAGTGTTCAGTTATAAAAGTTTACGGCAGCGGTTTTCTTTTATGGCAACTTTTAGTCACGCCCGCGGTGACAGCTCGCCATATCAGTTGTTATTATTTTTTCATAGTTACACGTCAAAGTCAAGAGCTTTTGCGAAGGGAGAATTCATTAAAAAACAAAAATAAAACAGCAACGAAACAACAAACGGCCAGACCGCAAATAAATCGCTTGGAAAATCATTTAAACAATTCCAAGCTCGATTGTAGGCGAATAATAATAATAAATAGCACGCAAGCTTTTCCATTTCCATTTGCCGACATTTGCAAACCTCATTTGTTGAATGTTGTTTTCGGGAGACAATGTTGATGTTGCGGCATTGGGAACATTTGCACTTGACAGTGACATGACACGCCACGCCACCCAATGAACAATTCAATTTTCATCAGCGCGCAATTTGCTCAGCAATTAAATTGCTCATACGCCCCCGCGTCTTCCCCTTTAACAATTTCAATTCATTAGCATTCGGATCCCCGTCCCAGGATCTCAATCTTTGTTCGCTCCCCCTTTTTCGCCCGCAGGACACTTTGGCATGGAACCCTCGCACAATTATTGTCCAGCTGGATGTCGAGGAGCTCTGGCTGACTGGCTGGTTGGCTGGATGGCTCAAGTGTCTGCCAGACGGGCTCTAGAATATATAGAAATGGGACTCGGATTGGGAGAGGGATAGAGATAGAGATACGAGATTGGGGATGGGGTCCCTCATAATACCCGCCTGGGGCATTTACATGCTTTTCACTTTCCCAGACAAACAAAAAAACAGGCAACGACGTTCCGCTTCTGTTTCCCCTTTTTTCTGCCCTTTTGTCAGACACGGCGTATACTCATTACCACTTTCTGCGTTTGTTCTCTGATTATTTTATTCTATTTGCCAGTCGTCGCTACGCTTTTCTATGCGTCGCTGCCACTGTTTGTCGCCCTTGTTTGCTTATCAAATCAAAATAGCTGCAGGTACGCCATTATTATGACCAGGCGGGAAAACAAGGTTTTGTGTTGCCATCTCAGACTTATAAAAGCCAGAAAGAATTAGTCCTTTAAGGGGGAAAAATTCGTGTTTATTAAAGGTTACTTAGGTAGCTGATTCTGCTAATTAAATTGAATTGTACTTGTCTGATTTCCTTTAGCTCTTTATCTAAACAAATACAGGCTTTCAAAAAATCACAGATAGAAAATATATTGCAAAGTCTGCAAAGTAAAGTTCTTAAAATCTTGTTAAACTCTTCTTGAATCCATCTTTTTGAAACCTATTCAATTCTTTAGAAATCAGTTTGCCAAAAAACTTGGTATTCCCCAAACCCATTCAACTTGTGGATAGCAATCTCTGATTTAAAGTGAATGCATTTGGGTTCATAATTCCCCCAAAGATGCGAGTACAACCCCCGAAATCGGCCCAATTACAAGGAAGTATTTTGTAGACAGGCCTTTATAATGAGTTGGCTCTTCCGCAGCGAAAAGGCCAGCTTATGACGATTACATTCATTAGCCGAATGCCCTCCTCCCACTTAAGCGCTGCCCATTTTCCCGAAAACCGAGCAGACAGATGGCTAAGCGTCGAGAAGTCGGCAGGAGAAAAGCTGCTAAGAGCTCGATGGAGCGGGGAAAAGGGATTTTCCGAGGGGGTAGGGCCAAAGTGCTGGCCAAGAATGCGCAACGCGGGCGGCGAACTGTTGAAATTTAATCCCTCAAGGGTTGCTTCAACGCTTCCTGCACAATGCAGATGGAAATGGAGTGAAGGGGGGCGTAATTTTGAATATGAAGTGAATGGACTAAAGCCGAGAGTCTGTTTTGCATTGATAAGCTGCCCGCTCCTTTTCAAAACATTTCTGCAAGCTTGCGCTTCCTCGTGATTCTTTTTATGACGCAGCGCCATAAAAGTAAAAAACACACGAGTACAGCAGACGAAACTTTTATCAGACAGTAAAAATAATAATAATACGACATGTTTATGCCCCACAGACGCAACCTCTTTAAAGCTGCCACGCATGCAAGTCGTGTAAATAATTTAAGAACCCTCTTCCTCTTCTTCTGGCCGTGACACATGTTCCGCGGGGGAGACAGATAAATTATTAAGTTGTTAAGAGACCCGGCCGAGAACGGCAGTCACTCACATTAATATGATAAACGCTGCAACAATGTGCTTTTAGTGAGCGGCTTAAAGCGGAAAGTCACTGGCAGATGGGACAAATCGCGGTGAAATTACGCATTAAATTGCCAGCATTAAGGGGTAAATAAACATGGAAAGTTACCTTTAAAATATCAGTAAATAACATGTAAGTGATAAAGCATTACTGATATTAAACGAACATTTATTATGCCATTCTCTTGCGACTGGAAATAAAAATGTCTGATAGTCTTACCATAATCATAAAACATTTCGTAGTGGTGAATTTAAAACCTTTGAATAAATTAGGAATTTTATTTACATTTCTAGTTTCTGCTGATAAGAAACATTTTAACTGCAGCAAACATAAAATGAAGCTACCAAAAATCCTTAATTATCACTACAAATTAGACTATTTTACGGTATTTTCTGCAGCATTTAAGCTTGCCATTTTCTTATCGCCTCAAATAAAAGCCAAATGGGAATGCATCCCATACTATAAAGATGCCAGATCAGATCTCCTGCAAATGGCAGCAGGCCAAAGAAGTACACAAGCGTTGACAACGTTCTCCCTGCTGAACTTCTCCTCACCCAAAACACACGACATCGTACAATTTGTATGGCCAACTTATAAATAGGCTGGCCGGAGCAAAAGATTATAATCGCAGACTTCGAGGCGACACCGCAGTCGTGAATTCAACAGAATGTTGCTTGGCGCCAGGATTAGCAACAAGTTGCAAGCTACTGTGCAATGGGATTACACTGAACAAATTGTAGAATTTAAAATAAATAATACTTTACAAAGAGCAATAATTAAAAATAAACAGCATAAAGAACTCTTTTATGTTGTTTAAGAAATATGTTATACACATTTTATAAATACTGGAATAACTTTTCTTTTGTTATTTGGTCAAGTGTTGCATTATAATATTGCCCATAATTTAGTTGCACTAACGACGCTGTTTTCTGCTATAAATAAACGATATTGTGCAGCCAGGATCGTGCCACCTTTTTCTTTTTCTGAGGCTCATTAGGTGCGTGCTTGTTGGCAGGGAATTAGCAAGACAGATCAGAAATCGGAGTCGCCAGCAGTCATTAACTTTTGGATGGTGAAATATTGTCCAGCCAGAAAAGGTCTTTACAAGTTAGAGCGGAAAATGCGTTGAGTTTTCCGAAATGCGAGCTCATCAACAGAGCGGCGAAAACGATGATACATGACATGGTTAGTGGCCAATATTTATGGCGGAGTGGAGTGGCAGGAACGTGACAACGACTCAAATATCCGACGAACAGGTGGCCGGGCATTCGGGTTTGAATTATAACGCATTTAAGCCGTAAAGCCGCGGATATATGAGACCCGCTTAAGTAGCTCGTGTTGCCGGCACTCTGGACACATGTTTGCCTCTTTTTTTAAGCCCGATCCGAATATGGTGCTTGGCGTTAACGCATATAAATTATTTTTACAGCCATTTCGGGTTGCACATGCAACACGTGGCAATAAAGATAGAGTAGCTGGAGCTCTTTTTTAAGGCAAAAACAGTGTAAATGGCCAAAAGACTTAGCTGGATAAGTTATGATGACTTTCCGTCTTACTATGCAATAAGGCAAGCTAAGATGATGCCAATAAAAACTACAATTTTCGGCTATAAAGTTGATTGAGATAAAATAATAATTCTACAAAGGCCAACCATATTTTTCAATTATGAGAATTGTGTATTTTCTACGTAAGCTTTAAGGCTTTTGTTAACTGTATAATTTGTTAAGATCACTTCAAAAAGATCACTTTACTAATATTCAACTTATACTCAATCAAAATCTCAAATTTTATAGAAACGTTTAAGCATTCTTTGTTGCAGTTCAAAATAAAACCCTTTTGTAACTACATTTTCTTAGCTTCAATGAGAAATATATTTAATTTGATTTTAGTTTAATAATAAGCACTTGACCACTTCCTTTTTAAATTCATATGCTAACCGTATTTATTTGAAATGTTCTAGGTGCAATGCTCAAGATTGTTGAATACCCAGTTTGGTAGACACAAATCAGACGTGAATCACCCGAATTGAAACCGTTAAAGTGTAGAAGTACCGACTCGCTTGGGCCTCTCAGCTGGCCCAATAATTTGACTTATGGCTTACCTTTTGCCGTCTCGTCTGCCCCCCCTCACCCACGCACCACTGCACCACCGAAGCACCGCGTTTATCCATTCATAACCACCGCTTTTGCCCTCGCCTTTGCCTCGACTTCCTTGGCGGCAAGTTGTTGGGGCATGAGTAATGTGAGGCGCATTGCAGCCCGATAAAAAGCTTAAAATACAACTTACATTCTGACAAGATATGAATTTTAAGCGCGCGTCCCATTGATTTATGTGGCATTCAAAGGAAGCGTCTGACGGAGATGGTTTTTTAAATTGGATTACTGGGAGTCACAACGACTCCGTCTGCGGAGTTTTCTGCCTGGCTTGCATGCCAAGTTTGCGATTAAAAATACGTCGAGATGACGGCTTATTGAGCCACTGGCTCGTCTAATTAATTAGCGACTCCAGCAAATATCACTTCGCATGGCGTAAGATAAACAAGATTGGAAATCAGCATGGAAATAGTCTGGCGACGGAAGGGAAAACAAAGAGCAAATAAACAAACGAAGGGGAAGTCCCCCGATTTCGATTGATTGCGATACGGCGTGGCGCCCCCTGGCGGGCAGCAAACCAAACAGACGGACGGTCGGAAAAACCGCAGAATCTAATTTGGAAAACGTATGTAGAGTATGTCGAGCATGTGGAGTCATCTGGCCAAGGGAGGGGCTCCACAGTCAACAAATGTCCCGAGGGGTGTGTGCCACAACATTCGAACTACTCGACGGGGAATCCGGCGAAAGGTGAAGCCTGGAAAAAGGGAGGAGGGGGAAGGGTAAGGGGGGCCGGAATGAATGCGCAACAATCAAAATATTTTCATGACAAATTTAAAACAACAGAGCCATGAAGTGGAACACGTTGCAAGCGTTTGGTCAGCAGCAGACATTTTCCGTAGATGGGAAACAAGTTGTGCACAGGGAAAAATTGTAAAACTTAAAGAAGGGAACTTTGAACCTTTCTCCTTGATGTAATATTTTAAAGTTGCTTGAATATAATTTCAAAGTCTCTCAAAAAAAAGTATTGTTTTAACACATTGAATTAATTTTAAATATTTTTGTTAGCAATTACTAGCTCTAAGTTCGCTTCCCTAAAACCTTTCAATTATTTTCAATTGTTTCAATTATTAACTAAAATCCAATTAAGGAAAATATCTTATCATTTTGGAGAGGGAAATTTGGAAAAGTAAATCCAAACAACATTTTATCACCACTTTAAAGTTTACAAATTCACTTTTTTATGGTTTATTTTTTACTGTTCACTGTTCTCTTATAACATATTTTATGCTTTATATACATAGAAAACAATAGCAAAATCATGAATTTAGTATTGAACTACATATTCGATTAGATTGTTTTCTGTGCGGACTAGCCAATCATGCGGAATGGGAAAAGGGAATGGGTGGATTGAAGACGGGAAGTGGCCAAGTCATGACCGCAGTGGGGTGGCTCCTTGAGGAACTCTCGATCCGTCAGGAAAACCCCCTTCTTTGGCAACATTGCTAATCCCCTCGACCGAAGAAGCGACACACGTGTCTGCGTTTACAATTCATTACGAACGCCTCGAACTTAAGCCCTTTTCCGACTTTTCCGACTTTCGGCTGACCCAAAGTCAATTTTCAGGCCGACTTGCAGACGTTCGCCAGTTGACAACCCCATTGTCTGGATAACTGGGATTCAGAATGCAGAACGGCAGCTGGTCGAAATGCAGAGCTGTTTGGCAAACTGTAAGCCACTTAATCTCGGCGGCGGAAGAAAGAGACTCCCTTTCTCCGCAGAAAGGGCAGCCAGTCTTCATCATTACTTGCGCATAAATTAGGATTAAAGGCGAGACACTGAAGAGGGAAAAAGGGAGTGGGTTCCACTTCTGCAGAAATCATATTCGCAATTTTGACCTTATTTGGATTTACTTGTGGGGAATGCCGACTCAACTCCTTATAAGGTTGGTCACTAAGGGACCAACTAAGAAGCAATTGCCCAGCTCGCTTTTTCCTCCTAATTTCGCATCGCTATATTCAGCATATATTTGCAGAAACCAACGATGTTCCCCCATTATTTTTTCGCCACTAATGCGACAGAATGTTGCTAAAAAGCTCGCCCGTTATGCATTTTCCTGACACATTCCATATTCGCATTAGTTGCGCTGACATTTCATGTCAAATTAGTGACATTTAGTGTCATGAAAGTGCGCAAATTTGCCAGCCAAATGGGGGAACTTATATTTCAAAAAGAAGTATTATTAGTGGGGTGACTTCATGTCGTGTTGTCATGCCAAAAAAGTCTTATGTGATAATACAAATGATGGAGGAAAATAGAGAAGGGGAACCATTAATGTCATCTTGTATTTGTTTTAGCTCTGCAAAGAAGTTAATCTCTTGAATTTGTTTGAGATATTCTATGTAGTTTTTAGTTCTGAATTCTTTAACCATTTTTCTAATCTTTAAATGTATGCATAAACCAAAGACCGGCATGGAAAACGTATAAAACATTATTTTATCAACCCAATCGGTGTTTTTTTTTTACAAAACCATGGAAAAATAAACCCGAAACGGAAACTTTTTGCCTTGTTCCAGTGACAGTTGCAAACATTTTCGGTGCCTTCTTTTTCGGCGATGTTTGTGCTGGGTATTATTATTTTTATTTTCATTCTGATTGTCACAACAGCAGCGGAGCAGCCCAAACTGGTTTTCATTTTGTTTGTTATTGTTATTGCTGTCGGATGCATTGTTGTTGCTGTTATTTCTGCTGTTGCTATTGTTGTTGTTGCGGTAGTCCTCTGTTAAACATGTTTGACACGGACTCTCGTGGGATAACCCAGCGGGAACCCAGCGGGAAAGTGAGAAGTAGGTTTTTTATTTGAGTGGAAAACCTCCTTCTTTTTAGCAGGCGTAGGGGTAGGGATAGTTGAAAACCTACTTCTTTTTAGCAGGCATAGGTAAGGGATAGAAAATTTCGGACCGCTAAATGGGGTGGGTTTCTGAATATGACCATAAGTTACAACGAAGTTGTGACTAATTATTGTCTTTGTCTTTGTGATGCACGGTCACATCAGCATAAAATTTCGTGCAAAAAGTGTAAAAAGTGAAAAAAAGTTGTGTTAATCTTAAAAAACAAGATAAAGGTAAGTTATAACATAAATATTTTTGTTTGTATTTCCTTATTTCAGCGTTACGGATATGGTGAGCATAGGCATTTTTACTAAAACTAAATATAAGCCGCCAGAGGCGGTTGTCAAGTAGGTAAGTTTTTTATTTAAATTTATTTTTCAGTTTTTCAAGAACAAACAATGTTTTTTCTAGAATTTGTAATAGATTCGACTTCAAAGATTCTGGCCCTTGTGTTAATATTAACGGCAAAACTGAACGTGCGCAAGCGGACATTCCGATTTCGTCATTTGAAGAACTCGGCCATTTGGACTCCGATGCCGAAGCCAATCCAGAAGCATTTGTAAGTACTCGCTAAATTTTTAATAAGTTTCAACAGCCCTGTGTTCCCATGCTTTTTACTATGTTTATTACTTACTTTTCTAAATTTCTCTAATTTTCCCATTACTTTTTATATATTTATTATTTGTGTTAATATGTAATATATTAATGTATTATGGTTTTTATTTTCAGAGTCACTCAGAAACGACAATTACAGTCTTACCCAATATCAAGATGATCTGCGTTCACCGTTCACTAAGGCAAATAATAACATACAACAATACTTATGATAAAGGCCCTTGGACTGTAAATAGATTAATAAATGCATATACCAAATTAAAAAGTATTATTTTTTATTGTGGAAATTCTGTAAAGCGGGAAGGCCAAAAACCAGTGGATTTTGCCCTGCATTCAGCAGTTACAGATCCACTGGATTTTGTCATGCATTTAGCAGCTGTAGGTCCAGTGGATTTTGCCCTGCATTCAGCAGCTGTAGGTCCAGTGGATTTTGCCCTGCATTGAGCAGCTTTAGGTCCACTGGATTTTTCCCTTTACCCCTTACTTTTGTGTGTCACCCCCGTGTATTTTGAAAGGAGAGACGGCAGATTTGTAAGGGGTAAAGGTGATTTTCCACATTCCGCTTGTATGAAGAAACCACTGGAAAATAGCATATTTTCCACAGGTTTTTTCCCGCTGGGAAAGTGAGAAGTAGGTTTTTATTTAACTGGAAAACCTCCTTCTTTTAGCAGGCGTAGGGGTAGGGATAGATGAAAATCTACTTCTTTTAGCAGGCGTAGGGAAGGGATAGACGATTTCGGAACGATTTCGGGGGTGGGTTTTTACCGAAAGAAGGAGGTTTTTGTTCAGCGGGAAGGGAAAAATCCAGTGGATTTTGCCCTGCATTCAGCAGCTTTAGGTCCACTGGATTTTTCCCTTTACCCCTTACTTTTGTGTGTCACCCCCGTGTATTTTGAAAGGAGAGACGGCAGATTTGTAAGGGGTAAAGGGGATTTTCCACATTCCGCTTGTATGAAGAAACCACTGGAAAATAGCATATTTTCCACAGGTTTTTCCCGCTGGGAAGTCCCCCCTAGTCCGCTGCCCTCCTGCAGCATCATGCGAGTAAAAATAAGTTTTGGTAGCTGCGGCCCGCAGAATTCTCTCCCCCCAAAAAGGGGCAAATAAAAAAAAACAGCAGCATCAACAATGCTGCAGAATTTCGAGCTTGGGGGAAATCCAACAGAACGAAACCAAACCAAACCGAACTGAATTCAGAACGATCTGCGAGTGACAAGCCGCATACCAAAAGCAGCCGGCAAAATGCTGACAGCCTGACAAACCGGCGACCAACTGGGAAAGCGACGAGTGTTTGCTCCTCGTTAATAATTTAATTTGTATAAATTTACCCAATATGTCGAGAGCCCATCAATTTGCTGCTAAAATGGGAGTGGGGGTACCTAATTAGCCAGGCATTTCCTTCATGCCATTCCTTTTAAAAAGTCAGTTGTTAAAACACATACAGTTTAAACTTAGAAGGGATTTAAAGCTTATAAAATTTGATCTTTAAATTATGTTTTTTATACAGTAAAATAACACATACGCAGATTTGAATCATTGAATTATTTAATGTTCATCTATATTTGCTTTAAAGTGTCACTGTATTTTCAACCATTTTAGGTAAGTATTTCAAAAGTAATATGTTTCTTAATAATTTCTGCATGGATAAAATTGATATTTAAATTAAAGGAACTTAAGTGAATTTAGAAATTAAATGAGTCTTGTTTATTCCTCTTTATAGCTCTACTGAATTTTGTATCACAATTTTCTCTCTTCCTTGTTAATAACAAAGAAAGTTCATTAGCCCTGCAGTTTTCTTTATGGCTTTGGGTATTTTGTTTCCCTGCGAGCGTTTCGCCTTCAGCCACCCAACGATTGACGTTCCACTCCGACTGGCTGCCTCATTTAGAAATTAATATTTACACTGATTTCCTCGAACTGCACCTCTCGCCTGCGATATTGATGGCTGCCATAATTTGCCTGCTCGCATTCTGCACTAAATGTCCCACAAAGTGGTCTGCTGATGGCTTCCAGTCGGAGGAGTTAGGAGTCCGGAGTTGGGACTGCGACTTCGACTTCGACATCGAGATGTGACTTTAAGTGTTATGGGGAACGGCGGCCCATTTGGACGACGGCTCAGCGACGGGTTAAGTGCTGGCTAAATGCTGGCTAAATGCCGGCTAAATGCTGCCAGCTTCGCATTTCTTTCTGGCGGCCGTAAAGCGAGAAAACATGTTAATTGAACCGGGATCGAAGTGGAAACTGCAGATTGCCAATGCAAACAAGCGGCGAAAGCATCGATGGAGCGTGTCAAAACATGGATTATGCAGGTGGCCACTAAACTGTAACGATTTGGGGAGCACTCGCAAAAATATTGTTTATTAAGAGATTTTTTTTTTGGTTAAGCTTCGAATGCACTAAAATTATCCAAGCAGTAAAAAAATGAAAAAACAATTATACATAATGTAATATTTTAAATATTTTTTTATGTTTAAGAACTGCGATTTGACAACAGTTTCCAATATATGCAATCTATTTTACATGCTAGTATTTTGATTTGAAGTTTTTGATCTTGTTTTAAATTCTACTTTTTTTTTGAAAGTTAACGCAACTTCTCTCAAAAAATGTTGATGTTAATTATTGAACAGGTTTCTATTACCTTAATTCAATTTTTCTCAGCTTCTTCATTAGATTAATACATTTTAAGTATTAAGAAGTTCCTCACATTTCAAAATTTTGTTTTAAACTTCACAACTTCAATAGCCTCCTTTCTTCTTCAATTTTTTTTTGAGTGAACACTGTGACAACGAGTTTAGTGCCTAGCAAATTGATACATTACCCGCCCCCGCAATTCCCCTCGAGTGGCCACTAAAAATACAGCGAGCCACTCCGAAAAGTCCAATTGAGTAACCGAAAACCGGGTGTCGAAAATCAAGGCGCAACTAATTTGCCGAAATGTCAAGTGGTGCGATGCGGATACTCCGGTGGCACAGAGCTGATGTGACGGCTCCGATCCACTGACAATGCCACCTACGTAGCTACGTAGCACAGTGTACCAACACACACACAAACACTCGACAACAAAGCAACGAACAACAACTGGCAAATTTGTGAAGTGGCTGCAAAAAATTTCACGTATTTCGACAACGAAATTTGTTTGTTGTGCGACGAAAATTGTTCGAGTGCTGTTCGTTTCACACATGCCAAGTACAACAACAAAAGCAGTATTCGAACTACCTGCAACAACAACAACGGAATCAACTACGTTATATATAAAGCAACAAGTTGTTGTTGCTGCGATGCAGATTTTTTGGCAACCGAAATCCTTTTAAGCTTTAATGGCATTTCATTGCAAAGTGATGGGGATAAGGAAATGTGCTAAATAAATATTTTTCAGCATCAGTTTCACAGGAAAGGTTGGCCCCAAAAATGAGAAGTTTGTCATCAAGAGAATAAACCTGAATGCCGCCGATAATCAGGGAGGCTGAATCACATAAAATGCCTTTTATGATTCGATTTGCAAAGTGAGTCAGAGAAGAAAGTTTTTGGTTATTGGAGAAGCAGTTCAAAAAATGATTGGTAATTAACAAAATCCTTGTTAAATTTATCTTGAAATGTTTAACAATTTGTTAAGAAAATCAGCTAATATACATTAAGTCTATTAATCATCTTAAATGTTACCTCAACCTTTCATTTTAAGACTAGACAGCCGCAAATTGCTTCGCTGGTAAGTTGATTTCCCATTATGCGGCTTTATAAATTAAGAATCAACCCATTTAATTTCCAGCACGTGGTTTCCTTTGGTGATGAAAGTGCCAGGACTTCCGACTTAATGTGAAGGCATGCCAGTCAATGCAGAAAAAGAACCTTTCCTCGCATACTCTTTTTGCCGAGCTCTGGTTGGAATGCAGCCGAGTAAACAATTTTAATTGCATTTAAATACGACATTTATTTGCATGTAAAATTAACGCGAAATGCAAATTACTTCATGCAATGGCAGGGCGCATAAATATTGCCAAGGGAGTTGGAGGTTGGAAAAGGAAAAATGGAAAAAGGGAAAAAGGGAAAAGGGCCCAAAGTAAACAGAAAACGGGAATCCAGACAGAATTGGAGGCCTTATGTTTCCATTGCGGTTGCGTGGGCAAAAGCAACATCAACATCAGGAGCAACAAAACCAAAAGCAACAGAAAAATTCAACCTCCAACATCAACGGCCGAGAAAAAGCAACGAAAACGAGGCAGGCCGACAATGTTGTGGTTTTTGGCTTATGTTTTTAGCACCCGCAGGAAATGTTGCAAAAGTTCCCTTGCTGAATTTTTAAAGACCTTTTCGGTTAACGTGACATTGAATTGGCCACGTTGGGGCTCCGTGGGAATTTCGAAATCGGAGCTGACAAATGGCCAACCGAAAGCCGCAGGGCAAAATGCAATTTAATAGGCCATAAATCAGCGATGAATGAAGACGTTTGCGATGGACAAGCATCTCGTTTGCCAGAATTGGGCCAAAGCCATTTGACTGACGGATGACAAACAGCATCCCATTGCATGCCTGCCAGGCCTCAATTAATTGAAAATGCTTCCAAAGTGTCGGAATGCAACATTATTCATTAGGACGATTCATTCGGCCGGGGTAATTATCCACCCAAAATATAATACATTGTATATCTATAAATCGGTCAGAGGTGCAGATACTGACAAACCATTTTGACAGCCGCAACTGACAGTTTGCAGTTCGCCTGCAGCTTAATTCGGGATTTGTGGGATCGCCCTGCTCATTTATGATTTTCGCAGAGTTTTAATTAAAACTTTGGTTCGCTGATGCAAAGTGGACAGGGAAAAGTTTCCAGCTGACAAGTCGATGATTTCGGGTCCGAAAGTTCTGCCCGCTGTTTCCTTTATTCCTCGAATGCTGCAATTTTTCATGCCTCATCGTTGCATTTCACTTCGAGCGCCACGTGACTCAAATCGTTCTCTATTTCTGCTCAGATCGGATGAATTCGATTTGGTTGCAGGCGCGTGTTGCTAGATTTATGGCCAGGCAAATGGGATCGAAGTGTGTAAGTCTATATCGATGGGGAGGCCTTCCGATTGGTAATTGAATCTTCTCACAGAGATGTAATCGCGATATGGAGGGAAAAACATAACAGAAGCGGATTATGATCCTTGGGAATATATTTAATCAGCACTCCCTTTTTGGCCTTACAATTTG